CATCCATGAAGAGAAGTAAATGAATTAGAAACAAATTCAAAATTGTATTAGAGAAAAACATTTCAGGTCATTTTAATTAAAAAACAAGTTGCAATTTCAAGATAAAAAATTAAATTAGTCAAAGAATGAGACTTGATAATGATGAAGTATATACTCTGTAATGAAGACTAGCTATCCTGAATATCTGTACACCAAATAATCTATCATCAATAAAGCAAAAATCTGAAAGAAGTAGACATAAGTGGATAGTAATATAAAACATAACAGTCCTTGACCAATTATATAGATTAAAAATAAGTACCAATACAGAAAAAAAAATAAGTAATATAATAATGTGGATGTTATATATGTACACACCTATATAAAATTCTACTTTCTTTAGGTGCCTCAGAGCATCCTAGGCTCTGAATTCTTAACATTTAGAAAAATTAACTCTTGGAAGAAAAATGTAGGTGTTTTAGGAATGGAGAGAGAGCATGTATATTTTTTTCTCCTTTGAAGCATGTGCTCTTGTCGGAATGGTTTCTTTTTTTTGTTCAGTGGGGAAGACCGATTGTAGGGGCTGCATGCTGTTACCATGTGTAAGGTAAAAGGGGGTGTAAGCACCATGTTCTTATTCTCCCTTAGAGTCTGCTATTTTTCCGCCTATCATTGCACCCAGAGGATATGACAAAGTAGACACATCAGTTACTTATATGAAATAAAATTCATTGGCTTCTTTGACACAGCAGAATTTTAACCAGGTGCATATCAAAATTATGTTTCCATGTGTTTCAAGCTAATTTCTGTGACTATCTCAGTTTAGTTGACTGACCAATCTAGAGCCCAGCGATGAGTTTCTCAAAGTCCAGTTATCATATTGAGGATTCCAGAAAAGTTCTGTACTCACAGTGCCAAATGGCCTGGTTAAATACATAAGTGTTTCTTCCAAAATGCATTATGCACAAATAGTTAAGGTGCCCAGCCATTTGAGAAGCCTGCTGTTTTAAAACCTGTGTGCAGCATTTTGCAAGGCTGCTGTGCCTTGGATAGCTATCTCTGTGTCTCTTGGCAAAGGCAGTACCTGTGTATTTCCCTCTTTGTTGGCTACCTCATTTCATTTAATATGTTTTCTTTTTCTCCTGGTGGAGAGGAGAGGCAAGTGCCTCTTAAAATTATTTCACAGCAAACCTTCCTCAGTTCTTGTTGCCTGTTTCATGTAGAAAGGTTGATTTGTAGCTGCTGTCTTTCTCTTCCTATTAAACCTTGTAGGTGGTGAAGATCTCGGGGAGTGAAACATTAAAAATGAATGAAGAGAACTGGAGTAGTTTGTCTAAGCTGGGGGTTGAGAGGGGCTGGGTGGAGGAGGTTTAACAAAAGGCATTGATGTTTTAAATGCACAGAAGTGCCATCTATCAATAATAAATGGTGTGGCATAGAACAGATGTGCCAAATTGAGTTATGACAGAATACAGATTAGTTCATAGAGGAGGAAAGTAAGCAGTATAGCTAGCATTTTAAAATTATCTGTATGTGAGCTTTTGATTACAATTTTGAATATTCATTTCTTCTGTTCTAATGGCTGCTAGCTGGAAATATTAAAAGTTTGGTGTTTTTTAAAAATTCAAATTGTGCTTTTTTCTAAAGTAAGAAATAAAAATGAATAAATTTTGCTTTTCTGAAGAGAAAGACGGTCTGAAAATGAATTTCTTGCCCTTCATTGACTGAGTGCTTGCCTTTTAAAAGCTCATGTGGTAACTTATGAGGAACGAAATTGCATTATAAAACTTAAGTCATGTGAAACTATTACGCAGTGTTTTCTACATTTACAGTGATTATATTTCTAGGTACCTGTTCAGTGCAAACGTCAACTGCAGGGGACTACTTAGGAAACCCACTTATGCTTTGCAATCAGCTCCTCACCCTCAGCATTTTGATTCAAGGGATAATTCTACACATATGCTCTGTGTGAGAATTACCTTGCTCAGTAGGGAAGCAACAAGAGAAATAGCCGCTTGTCTCAGAGAAAATCACTACAAGTAAATTGGAAAGACAGAAATCTGTTAGGTTAACTAGAATATTTTGTAGGTGTAGATACTAGAGCAGAAGTCAGGTTTTGTTTTGAGCTTCTAGATAGGTAGGAGTTACGTTAATGTCACTGGTATAGCAGAGGACAATAATGTGGGAGGTATTTGAAATGAGTCCTGAAGTTCCTGAGTTGGAACTGACACGCTTAATGAAAAAAACAGCCTTGGTGAGACATATGGAACTTTTCCACCCATCTCAATATGGACCCTGGCTTGCTTTTTGAAAACTTTTTGGAATGGGGTATCTTTGCTTTGTTGGCCCAACACAAGTAAATCCTCTTTGTTTTTCAAACTACGGTGAACAAAACAGCAGTTAGTTCTTGCAAATAATATCAAGTTGGCTTAAATTTTAGGTTTGTGAGACTAGAAAGACAAATTACTTAGCTGTCATTGAAGAGTTTGTTTAGTCTTTGAGTGGATGTTACAGGTGAAAATGAGCATAGTGATTGTATAATGTCTGTTGCTAACTCTGAACCATCTGTATTGTTAACTTTCAACTTTTTCAGGTGCAAAATTTTCTTGAATCAATCTTTTCGTCTCCTAGGGACCCTAGCATGCCGTAAAGAAAAAAACGCTTGTCAACTGATTTTAGAGCCACCAAATAAATCTATTTTATGGTCCCGTTAGATATCTAACTCAAAACCCCCATTCACTCTGAAAGGTCCTATGGTTGGATGCACAACAAATTTCCTGAAATCATGTCTGATGCACCTCCTTTGGGTTGTTAAGAAGGTGTTGAAATGTAAGAAGGCTGGTAGTGAAATCAAGTTGTGGCTCAGGGTAATTAGGAAGGGAGAAAACCCAGCATTTTCATAGTACATTGTCTGGCTTTTAGTTGCAGCTGCAAACAACGGATATGAATTTAACCAGTGTTGCTACGGTGCAGCTGGTTCAGATCTGGCTTTATAACTGGCTGAAGTAAAATGAAATGGCTGGAAAATTCCAGTCAAGTAACACCAGTGGGAACATGTGGAATTAAATAGTGTGAGCAAATGCTGGCTGAGTTGGGGAAAAACTTCAGACATAAACTCGAGGGTTGGGGTGGGGGGCATTTTCTGGCCTTTTTCACAAGGGTCTATTGTTTTGATTAGTTTCCTTGCAGGAGGTAGAAGTTTTCCTCCATCCAGAGTAATTCATAGGGTGTTTGGCTTGTCTTCCTTCCTCCTGGCCGAAGTCACCTGATACTTTTTGTTTTGTCAAGAAGGAAGAAAGAATTCTTTTGCCTCAGTTACTAGCCATGATACAAATTTCAAAATGTAGTCTTATTTTTTTCTTTGAAATAGTTTCTCCATCTCGTGTGACACAGCAGCCCCTGTCTTCAGCTGTCTTCCCTCTACCACCTGTCCCAGAGATGTTGGGCATGTTGGAGGTGAAGGTGTGCAAGGTTTTTAAATAACTGTTCTAATTAAAGGATTCTGCAGGAAAGAACATGGGTTTGCAAAAGAGAGGCTTTTGTATTATTAGATATTTTTTTCTTTGATGAATTTATGTGCCTAGTGTGGAGAATCGAGAGTTGGCTGGGAAAAGATTTCTGAGAAGGGACTATGGTGCTGTTTGGGAAAACATTTGCTGTAACTAGGTTTAGGGTATTTAGTCTCTGCCAGTGCTTAGGAGCTGTATTTGCCAGGTGATTTCCCTGTTACAGGGATTAGCCAGTGGTGTGAAACATTTATTAAGGGACAAATAGAAATCTTTCCTGGGGCACATGAGTGGTGGCTGTTACTGGGGTGCCCCCTCCTCAACTCTTTCTCTATTTCTAATGGGTAAGTTTATAGTGGTGAGTCATAGGATATGGTTTTTCAGTCCTATGAAGAATCTTTGTAGAAAGAAAAGTTCTGTTAGGTATATTGTTAATTAAGCCCCTTAAAGTTTCTGCATAATAACTTAGAAACCTTTTTCTGTCTGGGCGCAGTGGCTCACACCTGTAACCCCAGCACTTTGGGAGGCCGAAGCAGATGGATCACGAGGTCAGGAGATCGAGATCATGCTGGCTAACTTGGGGAAACACCATGTCTTCTAAAGATACAAAAAGTTAGCAGGGCGTGGTGGCACTTGCCAGTAGTCTCAGCTACTGGGGAGGCTGAGGCAGGAGAATTGCTTGAGCCCAGGAGGTAGAGGCTGCAGTGAGCCAAGATCACACCACTGAACTCCAGCCTGGGCAACAGAGTGAGATGTCATCTCTAAAATAAGAAGGAACCTTTTTCTTTTCTCAGCTGTGCCATGACTTACCAACTTTGGAGGAAGACAGGATATAAATTATCAATAAAAATTGCCCATAATCTGGCCTGGCATGGTGGCTTATGCCTATAATCCCAGCACTTTGGGAGATGACAGTGGGAGGATCACTTGAGGCCAGGAGTTCAAGGCCAGCCTGGGCAACATAGCACAGAACCCCCACCTTTTGTTGCTCCCTCGCCACCAACCTTGTCACTACAAAGTTTTTAAAATCAGCCAGGCATGGTGGCATATGCCCGTAGTCCTATGTACTCAGAAGGCTGAGGTGAGAAAGTCCTTTGAGCCCAGGAGTTGAATGTTGCAGTGAGCTATAAATGTGCCACTGCACTTGACCCTGGGTTAGAGAGTGTGACCCTGTCACTTTAAAAAAGAAAAGCCTATATTCCAATGGCAACACTGCTATCTTGCGCGCGCGCACGCGCTGTCTCTCTCTCTCTCTCTCTCTCCTCTCTCACTGGAAACTAAAACTGTTTTTTCTTGATGCACATTCCCTGGATTTATGTTAAATTTTAATTCTAAATATATGGGACTTTAAAAAATATTTTCTGAAAGTGATATCATTTTTGAGGTGCCAGCAGTTGGGTCCATTTTGGAAATTCTGCCTTAACTTCAAAATGAAGGGGAGCTCTTGCTGTAGAGGGTTGTCCCATTCTGCTTCCCTTCCATTCTCTTAAACCTTGTACATGTTCCTTCCCACAGATCACCATTATCTTCAAAGCCCACCATGAGTGTACAGATCAGAAAGTCTACCAAGCTGTGACAGATGACCTGCCGGCCGCCTTTGTGGATGGCACCACCAGTGGTGGGGATGGTGATGCCAAGAGCCTGCGGATCGTGGAGAGGGAGAGTGGCCACTATGTGGAGATGCACGCCCGCTATATAGGAACCACAGTGTTTGTGCGGCAGGTGGGTCGCTACCTGACCCTTGCCATCCGTATGCCTGAGGACCTGGCCATGTCCTACGAGGAGAGCCAGGACCTGCAGCTATGCATGAACGGCTGCCCCGTGAGTGAACGCATCGATGATGGGCAGGGCCAGGTGTCTGCCATCCTGGGACACAGCCTGCCTCACACCTCCTTGGTGCAGGCCTGGCCTGGCTACACGCTGGAGACTGCCAACACTCAATGCCATGAGAAGATGCCAGTGAAGGACATCTATTTCCAGTCCTGTGTCTTCGACCTGCTCACAACTGGTGATGCCAACTTTACCGCTGCGGCCCACAGTGCCTTGGAGGACGTGGAGGCGCTGCACCCAAGGAAGGAACGCTGGCACATTTTCCCCAGCAGTGGCAATGGGACTCCCCGTGGAGGCAGCGATTTGTCCGTCAGTCTAGGACTCATGTGCTTGATCCTTATCGTGTTTTTGTAGGGGTTGTCTTTTGTTTTGGTTTTTTATTTTTTGTCTATAACAAAATTTTAAAATATATATTGTCATAATATATTGAGTAAAAGAGTATATATGTATATACCATGTATATGACAGGACATTTGTCCTGGGACACCCACCAGATTGTACATATTGTGTTTGGCTGTTTTCACATATGTTGGATGTAGTGTTCTTTGATTGTATCAATTTCGTTTTGCAGTTTTGTGAAATGTTTTATAATGTCCCTGCCTAGGGGCCTGTTAGCACTTTATTTTTTATATATTAAATATTTATGTGTGTACTTGGTTAATATGTATAGTACATATACACAGACACCCATACGCAGCATTTCCTTTGAAGGTGACCCATTGTTTGTAGCTATTCTTGGCTGTACCCTCCTGCCCTTTCCCGTTGCTACTGATTTGCCACGGCGTGCAGCTTTTACTCGCCACCTTCCGATGGAGCTGCCTCATTTCTTTGAACTATGTTCTCACCCTTCTGCCCTCACTTCATTTGAAAGGATCATTAACTCCCCCTTACAGGTGCTCTGACTCTTAAACACTGATCTGAAGAAGCTCCCTTCCTAACAGCTGTTTCTTTTTCAAGAGGAGGGTATTACTACTATACTGATTACTCTCAATTCTAATTGTTAGATATTTGAGCCCATACGGTGTATTAGGTTGAACCATAGAAACTGCTGTTCTTGTAGGTAAAAAGGGTCTAGTGATGGCAGTTTCGTAGACAAGGACTAGGCATCTTGCTAGACCTCAGTAACTCCCAGAGCTTTTCTCATCCCATGCCCTCCCCCCACCCTTTTTTTTTTTTTGAGACGGAGTCTTGCTCTGTCACCAGGCTGGAGTGCAGTGGCACAATCTCGGCTCACTGCAACCTCTGCCTCCTGGGTTCAAGCGATTCTTCCACCTCAGCCTCCCGAGTAGCTGGGACCACAGGTGTGTGCCACCACGCCCGGCTAATTTTTTTGTATTTTTAGTAGAGACGGGGTTTCACCGTGTTGGCCAGGATGGTCTCGATCTCTTGACCTTGTGATCCACCCGCCGCGGCCTCCCAAAGTGCTGGGATTATAGGCGTGAACCACTGTGCCCGGTCCCCATGCCCCTTTTTAAATTGCAGTTTTCCCTCTCATTCTTCTGTGTTAAAGCATGAAACTATAAATTTAGTCATTATTACGCCTTGCTCTTTTTTTAATCTATATAACTGGAGCAAGCCCCTGTTCTTAACCTTTTCTTGGCTGTTGAGCCCAGAAATTCACAGCTCTGTCTCCACCTCCAGGAATCCCTCCTTAACCTCACCTTATGGATCTAAAGAACTGGGGTTTGTTAGGTTCTTTCTCTAATGTACAGGCCCAGATTCCATCACAAAGTTTTCCGTTCTTCCTTGTCCATACCTTGATCTTCATCACAGTCTTTGATGTGTCTGCATGCAAAGTGGAACGGAGTGGGGGGCAATGACAGAAAAGCTTCCTTGGCCTGACTCTGCCGCCAGTTCGGCACTGCTTAATCCAGATTTTTATGTTAACCAAGCATTGTGCTCTCCAGGTGGTCTCTGAAGTCAGGTATTCTCCCTCTTAACACCTGTAGCTGAATATGATTTAGTCAGCTGCTCATGGTAACTTGGAGAAATTCCTATAAAATAAGATCTTTCCTTGCCTCTTCCATTGTTGGCACCCCCTTGCAAAAGGAAAAGAACAGTAAAAGGCAGGAGCAGTCATCTGAGAAAGTTAACTCCAGGATAGGTAGGTTTCTATTGTTATGTCTACATGTACATCTTTGATTCCAAGAAGAAGTGGTACAGTTTGTACTTTAATAATTTATTGATAAGTTTACATAAATGGAAATAAAAGGCATGAACTTTAAATAACATAGTAGTTTAGGCCAAGATTATGATTAGTTTTAGTTCTCCAGGTAATTACTTTTGCCGTGTCCTGTTGATCAGTGGCACTGCCAGAGGCCCAGACTGGCAGGAGAAAGAAGATGTCATTTTGTAAAGTTTTAGATGTGCCATCCAGTAACAGAGTGGAGCTGTGGATTCATGTAGAGGTGACAAACCTCTCCCTTGTGTTTATAAGAGAATAATCTTGGACAGCCTGGGAAAATAAGGAAGGCACGCTGCCTCTTACTCATAGAGATTCAACTGCAGAGAGTTGAAACCTAAACCCGCCTTCCTTTTATAGAAGTTGTACTACCATCAGCTCTGAACTGTGGCTTTTTTGTTCACATACGGAGCCATATACCATATTCAGAAGCTATTGTTAATTAATAATCTGTTTTATAATTGAGTAGTACAAGCGAGGAAAAATACTGATGATAGTTTAACCACTATTTTTGTGCAAATAGTATGAAAGTGAAGTAAAAGTAATAGAAGAAATTTCTATAGGATCTGGGTTTAGAGTGTAAATGATTAATAAAATATACCTTTGCTCTTTTCAGGAAAACTAACAACCACCCTTACTGATAGTTGGGAAAAGAAGATTGGGTTATTTTGGCATATCATTTAGCTGAAAGTGATGCTTAAAAGCACCCTGCATCACTAGTAATGTTGTATTTTGCTATTCTCCCCTTATAATCAGTGATCCTGTAAAACAGTTCCCACAGATTACTTTCAGAAGCACACATATTTCTCTACCAAAGGGCCAGGTTTATTTTCTCGCTTTTTGAGATTTCTAGAGAAAATACTGCTTGCACATGTTGGTTATTGAAACCTTAGCTAGAAGAGTTTCAGGTCATACCAACACGTGGATAGGCTGAAGCGGTTCAAAGGTCTCCTGGGGGAGCTTAAAATGGGGGAGAACACTGGTTTTCACAGATGCTCCACATGACTGTCTTAAATTTAAAAGACTCGAAACTTTTTGTCCTGTTTGTTATGCTTGGAAACCCCCTCCCCAGTGTGTCCAGTCTTTGCAAAGAAACCTTTAGGTGTGGTTCATAGATATATGAATATGTATCTGTGTAAAACAGTGAGTGTGTCGTGTGTAAATACTTTAAATTATTATGCTAGAAAAATAAAGTTACATACCATGCTGTGGAATGTTTGTTCTGTGATTATAGGGACACCTGCTGGAAGAACTGAGAGCTGCAGTAGAAAGGGAGCCGCGGGAGGGTGAATTGCATAAAATCCCTAAAGGTAACTGACAGTAAGTCATACCACCTGCCCACAAATTCACTTACTTTCTAAACTATAGCACTACTGTCATTTTTTTCTTTTTAAATCTTAAGCAGTTACAAATCAGTGTCTGTGAGACTGGTCCACTAGGATTGTCCCAAAATTCTGTCTTTAGTGACAGTTTTGGTCCCTTGAAGATACGCAGTCTGCACGCAAGTTCTTTTTAAGGCAATGTGAACTCTTAACGTCTTACTCCTGGTGGGGAAGATTTGAGAGGGCAGGATTATCTGGCTTGAAAACATAAATCCTCACTTCTTGGGTTTTAAAAAAAGACATCAAGAAATCATAAGTTGGTCTTTGCTCAAGAAACACACCAAAGGGTAGAAAAGTTAGGAAAATAATTAAAACTAAGGCACAGGAAAGCACTGTTACTAGGTAGAATACTAAATGGATCAAATTCTGATTGGGGGAAAACATACATGTAATCATTTCTTTTTTTTTTTTTGAGGTGGGTTCTCTGTCACCCAGGCCAGCATGCAATGGCATGATCTCAGCTCACTGCAGCCTTGACTTTCTGGGTTCAAGTGATCCACCTGGGACTACAGATGCATGCCACCACGCCCAGCTAATTTTTGGGTTTTTTTATAGAGACTGAAGACTGGGTTTCACCATGGTGCCCAGGTTGGCCTCAAATTCCTGGACTCAAGCAATCTGCCCATATCAGTCTCCCAAAGTGCTGGGATTACAGGCATGAGCCACCACACCTGCTATAATCATTTCTTAAAAAGCTTAACCATTGCACTTGGTATCTACATGTAGCAGTTTAGAGCAAAAAAAAAAAGATAATCATGTCAGCTGAACCACATAAAATAGGATGAAGTGACATCATCACTGAGTACCCAGTGATGTGTCTGTACTGAATAAATGCAAATAATCTATAGCACATTCATTGTGAATACATCACATACATACATTGTGAATACATCACAATGAATGTGCTATAGATTGACTTTTTTTTCTTTTCTTAATATTCTTGGAGTATAGATTATTTGACTTTTATGCTTAAATGTCAAAAATAATTCTTTACCATTCTCTCTTCATTCCCAGACCTCCAACTCTTTGGGAACTGAAACTTCAACTCCAAAATCCCAATGGTGACATCAACCCTAAGAGTCCTGTTAGTTATCTGATTTATTCCTTGCCTTGTTTATTTTTAATTTTGTAGCATTGGCAGCATTCTATTGTCTGTAATTAGCTGGAGTAACAGAGTCTTGTATCACTGCTGACCTTTCTGAGCAAAGATACCTTGCTGCAGATTTTCTCCCTGTTCTATTTGTATGTGAACCAAAGAATACCTCCCCTACAGAGAAGTAATTAAGGAGCAGTTCAAAGTTCTTTATTATTTCACTACCTGACTCACCGTATTGTTTCTTTCTGCTTCTATCCCTTTTCTGTATGTCTTCCAAATGGACAAGTCACATGCACGCAATTGTTATTATTTAGATGGTATTTTCCTTTAAATTTACTGCTCCTTGGCTGGGCATGGAAGCTCACACCTATAATCCCAGCACTTTGGGAAGTCGAGGCAGGCAGATCACTTGAGGTCAGGAGTTCAAGACCAGCTTGGCCAACATGGTGAAATTCCCATCTCTACTAAAAATACAAAAATTAGCTAGGCATGGTAGTGCACAAGTGTAATCCCACCTACATGGGAGGCTGAGGGAGGAGAATCGCTTGAACCCAGGAGGAATAAGTTTCAGTGAGCTGAGATCATGCCACTGCACTCCAGCCTGGGTGACAGAGTGAGACTTTAAAAAAAATGTACTGCCCTTCTTCCCCCAAGTACCTGTAATAAGCATGCCATTTGACACTATCAACTAAATAATAGAATATGCTGTCCTTTGTACCCAAAAGGTTATGTCATGGCTCCCTGCCAGTAAAATATGTGCTTGAAGTGGTGATGTCTTTGTGTCTCACTTCCCTTAAGATCACGCTATAGATTTACGAGAAGACTGAGGCATCCAGCGCCCAGCAGGATATACTAACATTCTATAAAACCAGACTGTGTGCCCTCAGCCTTCTTGGAATAAGGTTAAACCAATTGAGTAAACTGGTCCTGCCAGCTGCAATGTAATAAAGTAGGTCTAGCAGGCTTCAGCAGGAAGAAAACAACAGGGCAATGTTTTCT